AAATAAATAGCGTGTTATTAACATTTATTGTTTTTTATGGGAAGGGGTGGGCGTTCTGTACATACACTCACGCACACACGTAAGCTTGTATTTTATGCGTGAATGCATAAATATCTACAATAATATTGAGATATTTACTGATCAACATCCTGGAACATTTTGAATTTCCCGCCACTTGCGACGTTGCCGTTGCGTTTCGGTCGAGCTTTTATTTAATTTTTTATTTATAAACGAATCAGACGATCGTCGCAAAACTTGGTATACATCAAATTAATAACATTATCTGTAACATATAAAAAAATTGGCCAAATTCACTGGCCCAATTTGCTTAAAACTGTGATTTAGTCAGTTCTCCCATAAGCGACAGTGTTAAAATGACTTAACTTTGAAATTCAATATCTCGAAAACGAAACAGAGGAACCTCTTTAAATTTTGACTGGTTTATTGTAACAACAATAAAAACGTCTGGTCAAAATTTCAGAAAAATTCGTTGGAAAATTCAATCACTACCGAACGTCCTTAAGTCACTCTATGAGTTAATAAAGTACTGAGCTTAAAGACAAATTTGCATGCAAAGTAAAAAAACATGTTTTGTATTTTCCAATAAGTATAAATACAGAAAAATTATCTGCCTTTATGAACCGCACACATTTACAGAGTGGCTTAAACCACTTTAAAAAATAGTTTAATGGCCACATTAAGTAATTACAGAATTTAAAATTTTTCTTTATCAATCAATATATGATTTGATGGATTATAACAAATTTCTGTGAGTAAATTGTTGTTCGATGAAAAAAAAAAAAAAAAAAAAATTGAGCCACTGTTTCAAATTAGTGAAAAATGACAGAATATTTCTGTATTTTACAAAATTAATACTTACATGACTGTTTGGTGCTGTAGTTGTAAGAGGAGCATCATTATGTGTACGATAACCTTCCACAGGAGAAGTAGGAATCAAATTGTTTGTTGCATCTGCTAATGGCACTGTCTGTGGTCTAATACGTCGAACAGGAGTAAGCTGAGTTGGCTGAGTTAAAGCATCTACCTCATCGATATCACTTGAGCTACTTGCATCTACATTTTCTGCATTAACACATTTTTTTTTGAAAGCTTGTAATTATAAGGCTTAATACTTACTATAACACATTAACAGTTTTAGGCACAGTACAGACCTATGTCCAAACAATCTGTCTCTGTTAAATTTCTTGAGGACCTTGTCACAATTTTTACATTTAGCTCCTACTATCACATGAGATTTATCTCGGACAGGGAGAAAGCCCAGCTTCCAGCCATCGTGCATGGGTTTTCCCATGCTGAATGAGATGTTATTGCACTATAAAAAGTATCTGTTGATAAGTAAATGTAAAATAATTTGACAGTAAGAGATAAACTATACTATGTTTAAATAACATAAAGAGCATTTATAAATATTTAAGTAAATAATATTTTGAGAAATAGTATTTTTTTAAATAACAAAGTGGACACTATAATCTTACTTTTAATATCATGGATAATGAATATTCTAATACTACGAATAAAACAACGAAAACTTTTAGAAAATTAATCATTAATTGAAATTCACGACACTGTTATACCTAAGCTTGTGGTGAAGTTGTTTAAAAAGATATTTTGTAAACAAGATACATTGATCAAACTACCAATTTACCAAAACAGTAGTCACACATGCATCATTTTTAGAAATAGTAGAAATATATATTTGCTGTTTTTTCGATAAGAGAGGCAGTATAATAGTCTTACCCTCAATACAAACAAGTTTAACTTGGATAACAACAACTTTATTGCACTGTTCTGGAGCTCCCCTGTTGACGTGTTAGGGTCTCGTTGCTGCGTCCATTTGACACTATTGGACGTCCATTCATTCTGTCCAGTCCATGCGTCCAGTCCATTAACGACCCAGTCCGACTGGGCTCAAACCTTTCACCATCGCGGCCAACGCTGCGACAACTTTAGCGTCAAGGGCCTGATTAAGATAAAGATTACCGTAGATCTTTACAAATTTTGACGTTGATTAACGTATGTAAATGTTGCGGCAGGTATTTTTTTTTTTTACACTTTAGGCTTAGCTCTTAGTCTAATAAAGGCATGGACACTTACTAGATTTCACCTACTGTAGCCGCTGCGCGCAGCGCGACCAGCCGACCATTCATTCTCCACTTTCACCTGCAGTCACCAACTCACCAGTGCGACGTGCGACAACGTGCCCCGGTGCCCCGTGCGACACTGCGACGGTCGCGCAATGCGCACACAAACATAATAAACATACACACGTAATTACAAACACATGATAGAGAAAGAAAGAGAGAGAGAGCGAGAGCAGAAGTTAAATAAAGTACAGGTTTTTGATTATTGATGTCAAGTTCAGCTCTGAAACCAAAAAATTACGTTGTCAGACGCTGCTGAATCTCTAAAGCTGTTGCTGGATTGGGTGATCCAGTCTGGCTGGACCACAGAAGTTTTTATATAAAAAAATAGTGGAAGAGCCGCTGGTACGGAGCTTTTGAATCTCGTGCGGACTACGTGCTTACTAGTCCCATCGAGAAAATAACTTTTTCGATCGAAGCTTAATTCTGACACCTCGTTCATGGCAGAAGAAAATGTGTACGGCTACACATCGGCTCTTGGCGACGACTCCAACGACGTACGTAAATGTCATCGCGGCTGTCACCATCACCGTCTCTTGTTGTTGCATCTGCTGCTGCTGCTGTTGCTATCGCCTCTTAAACTTTTCTATTTCCTTTTCTTCTCTTTCTGCTGTTATTTCTGGACCACAAAAATGAAAACGATCCTTTTGTAATTGTCGTCTTATTTATCTAAGTCTCGGTTTTTAACAGTACTTTGACAGATACGTTGGAATTTCTTATAAACAGACCAGGTCAATTCATGTAGCTGCTTATGCTTTATGTCAATTAATCGCGTTATCTTTACTTATTTATCTCATCAGTCAAGGTTTTGAAATTCCTTTGTAATGAATATTTGTACATACATAAGTCGGATGTTAGAATTGTTTTTGAAATACCCTTGCCGTTTTTATAATCAATGCTTAATAGAACTACACAGCCTATAAGAAAAGGTAGCATTATACTTACAAGTGTACTCTTATAATTATTTACCATGATTTTACCCTCTAATTTCAAGTTGTTTCACGTTGCTTTTGAAAACGGGCTTTACAGTGATGAGTGTCATTTCAAGACACAAAAAACACTGCCATCATTACCTTCAATCATGAATTTACTAAAAAATTTTGTTAGCATTAATTTTTTTATCTCTATAACTATAAATTTATTAAATCAATTACTTGGCTCATGTTATGCAGTAATTTGTTGGATTCACATTTTTAGAGAGAAGGAGCTACAAGCAGGTTGAGGTTACGAGTTCAGGCAGGACATAATTTAGCTAGAAAAGACATTTTTGGAGCAAGTGACCCTTACGTTCGGATAGAGTTAAACTCCATTCATGACAATGAGACTGTGGACTCGGTACTTACAAAGACAAAGAAAAAAACTCTCAATCCTAAATGGAATGAGGAATTCATATTTAAAGTAAGTCGAGTTATATTTATAATCATTATTTATTCTGAATGTACATTACTTAATAGATTATCATTACACTAGGTCAAACCATTGGAGCACAAATTAGTGCTACAAGTATTTGATGAAAACAGATTAACAAGAGATGATTTTCTTGGGTTGGTTGAGTTAACACTTAATAATTTGCCAAAAGAACAAGAAGGGCGCACTATTCCAAATAAACAATACATACTTCGCCCTCGAAAGTAAGTCCTTAAAGTTTAACAATTTTTGTTAAAGAACAGGCTCAAAAACAAGATTAACTCTTATTTTGTTTTTAACATCATTTATCTGATAACTAAAAGTTCAAATGACCTGTAATTTTCTTTATCAGAAATCATTTGACGTTAACGTTTTCCATCCAAATAATTGATACCTTTGCCAACTTTTATCAATTGTATTATGAATGCATGCTTCTATTAACTGTTATTAGAATATAAGTTAAAGTAAGATACACATATGTCCTAACTATACCTTTTGTACCAATTCAATTTTAGCTTTTATTATTCGTTAATATAATTTTTTTGAATATTTAATGTGAGCATACTTTATTCTATAAAATTTTCAGCATATTTCTATTTAAATTTAAGCAAGTTAAATAAGTGATCTAAGTTTCATTTGTCTCACATATAAAATGTGTATAGATGTTGTAGGAATAACAAGTGTTTGAAAAACTACTTCTACACGTTAATATCTTATGTGTTTATATATAAATGACGAAATGTTTAATTTGTAATTCATTAAATTAAACGTTGGTTAGTAATATAGACAATATAGAGTTAGCGGTGGAAAGTCCTGACTTTTTTTATTTTGAAAGTACAATAAAACTCAGGTTAAAAACATTTTTATTTTTGGTTTAAATCATTAAAATTTTGAATGGAGTCCTAAATTGGCCTGAATAAAAGTTTGAAATTTATTCGTTAGTAATTATTTGTTACTTGTCAAATGTTTATTTGATCGCTTTATTGAAGTCATTTTACTTTTCTGTCCACTAATATTTTGTAAATTCTCACTATCTCAAGAAATTTTCAAATTAAAATTCATGACGATTTTTATTTCCTTGCAGTACGAATCAAAGATCGAAAATAAAAGGTACGTTGGAAATATACCATGCCTACATATCGGACTCAATGAGTGCAACAGACAATGGTGACGGAGATTTACCATCTGATTTAGGTGGATGGGAACTATTAGACCGACCAACATTAATTTCTAATCTTTCTCCAGAAGAACAACCTGCAGAGGTAAAGAAACATTATACACCGGGAGAAAATATATTATTAGACTAATAAAACAATAAATCTGTCAGATGACACTGATAGTTGAGCCCAAAGGGTTTAAAAAAACTCTCAAAAATTTGAAAACGTCATAATTCGTGGCGATCCGAAGTTTTCGTTATTTCTTCCCTTGCACACGAGTTATATTGTAATTTAAAAAGTGCAATATGGTCCAAATGTAACTCAGTAACTCAGATGTAAGTAAGTCCAATGGATAGAAAATAAAAAGTTGTGTCAATTCAGTACTTGTGGCAGGATTGGGACTCTTCTACTACACGAAAATGGCTCTCCAAAAATAAACCCCGCCCCCCTACAAAATAAATGAATGCAGCAACTCTGCTAAACTATATTTTATGATAATGTATAGCCAATAGTATTTAGCAGTATGAAGCCATAATTGCGGTAATTTTTGAACTCTGTGAGGGTGAAAAAAAACCTTTTGTTATTGGAAATAGGAATCTATTTTCCACTCTCAGAGTCAAAAAATTGCTGCAACTTTAATTTTGTATACAAGTCATTACAAAACGTATGGCACAGTTGCGGCATTAATTAATTTAGTAGAAGGGGGGTACATTTTTTTAGAGGGCCATTTTTGGTTAATAGAAAAGCTCCCATCCTGCCACAAATGGCATTACTCCGTGTGAACTTAATTTATTTTCTACCCATTGAACTAAGTTGCCGCAGTAATATTGCATGGACCATACGGTACTTTCTACATTACAACATAACTTGTGATAAAAAGAAGAGATCATTAAAATACTATGAATATAAACGAATCATGACGTTTCTCCATTGTGAGAGTTGCAACAGCAATTTTTTTTTTCTTAAATACTTAAGGCTCTGCTCTTACTCTGTTCTTGATCTGACCAAGAAATTTACGAGTGCAGTCAATAGTCAATCAACTTGCTGTAACAGAGATGAGTAGAGAGATTGCTAACGCCAATGCTACGATCTGCTAGTTGCTACGATGCGAGACGACTTTTTGGCACTGATCGGAGCGCCCCGCTGCGTCCACCACCTGGAAGCTAGCACGCAAATTATCGACTTATGCAATGAAAAAAATACTAGGCGACGTGTTTTTATCTGCACATTTCATTTATGCAAATAATTGGATCTGCACATGCCTCAATTTTGCATAAAAAAATAAAAAAATATTTGCGATTTGCAGGACGCAGTTGGATGGTGATATCTCGGCAACAAAGGCATATTTGCAACTGCACACAGTTTTAATAAACTGCACATTATCCGAACTTAATTGCACAATCAAAATTTCTATCTGCATAACCTTATTTAATTAATAAATCAATTAATAGGAATAATCCGTATTGTAGCTACGAGTACTCATGCTCTGCGCATGTCCAGCTGTTGACATCGCTTATAGAGGGCGTCAAGCCTTGGGTGGGAAAGTTTGAAAAATTCTCAAATTTGTGCATAATTTTAGTAATTTGTTTTGTATTCAAAAATCAGTTCTGGTCCGTCATTAAATTTCCACCACGAATCAGGCCCCATCCAATAAGATGCCAGATTTTTTCTACGTCTTATGGATAAGAGTAACTTATTTTATCCATTCGGTACCTACAAAATGATTTCAACTTATTTCAAAAAAATTATACTTAGTAGCTACTACACGTCCACCTGTAGGTACTAAATAGTTCTAGGTCAACCAGAAGTACCTCATTCTTGGACAATTTAGGAAATCTTGACCCTTAGTATCTTTACATCAAGTAAATCCACCTACCTAACAATGACACTACCAGTAACAATAAACTGTAGCTCGTCCTGTTCAGCTAAAAATCAAATGATACGCAAGCAGATGGGTCTGCATCTGCAGGTAAACTTTCTCACCCAGCGCTGCCTTTTGACACAAGACCTGATCTTGATCTCCATGCCGACATTTAGCATACCCTTCAAAGTATTTTTACCAGCTATATGAGTAAATGAGTACATCAAATTTGAGGTAGTCAACTTTGCAACCTAGCTTCATGGTTAATGTAAAGTATATGTGTAAAATATGCAGAATGTATCAATGCCATGAAGCAGACAGAGCAGACTGCACCACTTCTCTTGCATTCGCATGTACATATATATATATGAAATTTGTATTTCTATTTGAACTGTTCAAATTGAGCATGTGCTTTTTTTACAAATTCCTAATTGATAAGTAAGTCCTTATTTTATATAAAATACGAAAGCAGAGAGTAAAAGTGCATGAATGTTTTATGTTTGTTTGAGAATTTTTTAAACTTTCCCACCCAAGGCTTGACGCCCTCTATAAGCGATGTCAACAGCTGGACATGCGCAGTGCATGAGTACTCGTAGCTACAATACGGATTATTCCTATTAATTGATTTATTAATTAAATAAGGTTGTGCAGATAGAAATTTTGATTGTGCAATTAAGTTCGGATAATGTGCAGTTTATTAAAAATGTGTGCAGTTGCAAATATGCCTTTGTTGCCGAGATATCACTATCCAACTGCGTCCTGCAAATCGCAAATATTTTTTTATTTTTTTATGCAAAATTGAGGCATGTGCAGATCCAATTATTTGCATAAATGAAATGTGCAGATAAAAACACGTCGCCTAGTATTTTTTTTATTGCATAAGTCGATAATTTGCGTGCTAGCTTCCAGGTGGTGCTGCGTCCAGCCGTCGAACCCGACGCACATCTTACTACTCGTATGCTCGTATCGAACAGCGTGCGCCTACGAGAAAAGGAATGTATTCGCGTGGAAATGATCATATGCGTACATTTTGGAGAGACTTGGAAGGGGTACACCGAATTTGTGCCTACGACGAGAGCAGTGGAAATGTTGACTATAGCTATATATCTGAGCGCACAGCCAAAGCAAGCGGCGACACGAGTTTTTCTCTGTTGACTGCAACCGCGTATATCGTATATATTTATTGAACTGACTTTTGCTCCCACTCTTTTTTGTTTTTCCCCTACTTTGAATACTTATTTTAAAATTCAGTAGTATTTTGAAATATACTTTCAGCTATTTTTTTAAGGATGGCAGTTCAGTTATAATCCCTAATTTATTATTTTTCCTCATAATTGTTATAAACTGCAGGACAAGCTCCGGAGGTTATTAATGAACATAAGTGGCTTTCAGATTCCTCAGGATCGAAGTTTCAGTAGCTAAGTTGTTTCATGCTTATGCTGCCGCTCAAATTGTTTTGCTTTCACGGGATCGATTCCAATTCTGCACACTTTTTTTTTCTAATGCAGTTCATCATTCTGGTTAAATTTTTTTTATTTATGTTTTATTTAAATCTCTAATAAAGTTGACAACTCTTCTTTTTTTTTTGATACGTTGAAATAAATAAATTTTTTATACCAAATCTATTCAATAATTTAGTGAGGGGATACTTCTTGTTGGCAAGGCCATTTTGCAATTTCATAATAACAAAATAAATTTCTTAATATGTAAGTATAGTCGTACATTTTATAACTCACAAGAAATTATAAACATCTAATATATTAAGAGACAAAAAATCCGACGGCACAAGAAAACTTATACAAAACTGCCTAAACATTTTGATTTGCGTCTTTCGTTGTAAAATGTAAAAAAAAACACATCAGCGCCCATCTACTGCAATTACTGCAGGTTGAAATTTTAATCAGTAAAAACATGCAATTAACAAATGAGAGAACCAATCCGAAGGCACAAGAAAACTCACTTTTATTACAATAGCATCAAATATGTTTATTACCAGCAAAATTTTTACGTTCCTCACAATTCATACCTTGTGGTAACAACTATTTGTTATTTTATTAACTAATTTAAAGTGAGTGTATGTGTTTTTTTTTAAGGAAATGATTAAGCTGTTCCGATCAATAATATTTTATACGATAATTAATTTTCGATAGAAATCGTTTCAAACACGTAATAACAAAAAACACCGCTCTTAACGCTTTAATTTAAAAAATGAAATTTTTATTATTCTGCATCACCCTGATAAGTTATAGTTCTTTTTTTTTATTAACAAATTTATTTGGTTTTCCCGCGCCACACGCCCACGCTAGTGCCACCATCGCAGCGACGGAGCCTGTCGAAACTGTAAAAGGAGAGTGCAGAGCTCCGCAAGAAGCAGAGAGAGAGCCAACAGCGTGTCAAGAGGAGAAGCGTCGTGATTTTCGATAATACCTATACCTCTAGGTTACTTACTCTTATTTTTGACTCTCGAGGGTCGAGCGCGACCCTGCTTTGATTAGTGCTTCGGACGGTTTAACCACCTGTATAAAACACAAGTAAGTTGCTCAATAAAGTGTGTTCTGAGTTTCAATATAGGCGATCATTGCGCCCACGTGCATCTCATCCTCCCCCCACATCCGGCCTGCAAACTCAAGCAGATTTTAACAAAATGGTCCTTCGAGCCGGATCTGGGGGGAACGATCTCGGTGCTCGTGCAAAAGGTCCCACTCGTGGACGACAGCCAGGTTATGACACTCAGAGCAGGCTTATTAGCCCGCCCCTCTCTGCACCCCGTGAGCGCGCGATGGGATGCGCTCTTTTCTTCGCTCTTTGTGCTCGGCCACCGTTACGCTGCTTTGTCATCCTCGCGCCCCGAACCAGCGTTCGTCGCGCAGTGGTGTGTGCAATGAGTGCCCGTCCGAGTGCAGCGATGCGGAAACGCCCGGGCACCAGGAGGTTAACAGTGC